CCGATTTACCAATCTCAATTTTCTCTGATAGCCAAGCTGCCATCAGATCACTGATTAGCACCTCAGCCACATCAATTACAACTGAAGACTGCCGTGCTTCACTAAATGACCTAGCTAGGTTTGTTAGGGTCAAACTTATTTGGGTTCCTGGTCACAGGGATATCACAGGAAATTGTAGGGCAGATGACCTAGCCAAGGCAGGTGCTCTTCTCCCCAACATTAACCTCTCTGATATAGGTGTTCCACTTGCTACAGTTAAACTGGCAATCATACAAAAATACCTGAGCATAGCCAAGCAATACTGGGCTGACGAACCTCAATATCAGATTTCTAGGTTGACTTGGCCGAACTTAGACAAGAAAAGAACTAGTCAGCTACTTCAACTAAGACGGAACCTGCTCAGCACTACGGTATCTGTGCTGACGGGACACTGCGTAATAGGAAGGCACGCTATGAGACTGGTCTTCCCTTTAATGACTTTTGTCGAGGTTGTGGTTCTGAGGATGAGAAGGAGACTGTACTCCATCTCATGTGTCAGTGCCCTTTCCTAGCCAGAAGAAGATTAAAAACCCTTGGATATCCTTTTCTAACTGACCTGACTGAGTTGTCATCCTGTAATGTTAGAGACCTAGCCAAGTTCATAGAACTGTCAGGTTGGTTTTCCATTACCTAATAGGGGAGTCGTTACCTTCTTTCGACGTTGAATGTATACTGTTTACAATCTTTATACAAATCAACGTAACTCCTGTGGTACCACAATGGGCCATTATTTGTGCTTAAGTGGGCTTTTTGGGATACAAGGCCGCCACTTCAACCCAACCCAAGCTAGATCTGCCTCTGGAGTGTGACTTGCCTTGAATTGATGCAAAACCATAGTCGAATTATCCCTGTAGTAAAGCATTATTGTAAATGCTCAAACTTCTCACAGTCTATACTGTCAGAAATTTGTTATGGTAAGCAGTATTTGTTAATGCTCAAACCTACAATCGTCATAATTCGAGTGGAAATTTGTCATTACTTGCTTAAATAACCCCTTTGGAACATTGTCTTTGATTCGTGATCGTTTTGTTGCTCCATAGCATAACATATCAGTCAATAAAACGTTTGACTAACTAAGAAAAACAAATTTTTTCTGCCAAAAATCGACTTCACTCACCAATATAATCTCCTTAAAGGGCGATACAATCATTCCAACGCTTCTCTAACTTCTCGATGCCGTGCTTGTAGAAGGATT